AGGTTTGTGAACCAAGGTACCACGGATATAAATTATTATCAACACTGTGAAGTAAGGTGCTGAAGGAGCCAGGGCCTCTCTTTTCATCTCAGTTTTCTAGAAGGTGCTGAGGCTTAGATGATCTGTGCCCCGAATTCCTTCAGGGCCTCTCCTCTGTACCAGGTGGCTCAGCCCAGACCAAATTTCTGCTGTGAGAGACACCTTCAGACTTGTGCGGCCCAATGTCTTGGCCTCCAGCTGCCCGTAATTGTCAGGTATTTACATGTGGTTACTGCCACATTTTAATTTCAATGAAGTCCCGAGTTTAAATGTAGATAGTCACATGTGACTAGGGCAGTGACATTTTAGAGCCAGAAGATAAAAACTAGGTCACGGTGAGGAGTGAAGGTTAAGACTGAGGCCTGGCGGTTCATTCTGGTTCATTCTCTTAGGCCTCGTGCACGGATATCCTAGGAGCTGACAGGCCCTGGGGCAGCTCCACCTCGTGACAAAGAAGCCTGGTGACCTGGGACGAGCCAAGGGCTGGCCCAGAACTGCTGGGAAGTGACGGGCTCTGGTGACACTTGAGATGGAGAGAGAGGCCCATGGCTGGGCCTTAAGGGACAAGGAGAGAATGAGCAGCAGAGACGGCAAAGGGGCAGGCGTAGGGGGCCGGGCAGTGACAGGAAGAGGGGGCGCAGTGCGGACACAGACATCTCTGCCAGACAGCCGAACGCTCGTGACAAGGTGGACTTCAGTGGATAGATAACAAGCAAGGCTTGGGAAGTAGTTTGGGTGACTTTCTGAGGCCATTTCGAAAACACGAGGTCCAGGGCTTGCTCATTCTTGGCAAGGAGTCTTATGAGAGCTCAAACCGGCTGGACCACTTGGGATTATGCTGAAGGGCTCACAGGGACCTGCCTCTGATAAATTGCGCCGTACCCTACAAAATACACTTTGCACACCTGCCGCAGCAGAGCATTACGTTCACCCGTGGTAAGCCACCGAGTTCTCCCAACGCACACATTCTGTCACACCTTTAAAGGGACGGAAGTGACCCTTCTTGCTGCTAAGGTCAGCACTGGATTTTGCTAAAGAAGCCCAGTTCCCAGGCCTCTCAACTTAAAAATTAAACATGCCCCATCTTCTCTGCGACCTCTCTTGCTAGGGAGAAGTCCAGAGAGAAGCCCCACGGAGCCCCTTGCTTACCCTGCGTTGAGCTTGGCTTTATCCAGCAAGGACCGGGGCTGGAACATATCAGCCAGCGCTTCTGGGGACTGGGGAGGCTGGCTGAAGGCGAGGACACTGCAGCTTTGTCCGGTCAAGGGACTGTCACTGAACCACGTCACGGTGGACGACACTGGTGTTCCGGTGATGGGGTCGTATGTGGGAGTCATGGTCTTGCTGTATAAGCCAGCACTTCCTGCAAGGCAAGGGAGACGTGCTCTACCACCAGACTCAGAGAAAGGAGCTCCGCACACTCTAGTGAAATTTGCCTAAGTGTTCATGCCATTTATCACAGAGTAATTATAGCAATTGTGAGGGTAGGGAGATTCATTAAATACAGGGAAAGGTCTGTACATTCAGCTCCTAGGAACTCAAAGATATAAAGGCTT